CCCGCCACAAGTGCCGTCAGCGCATCGATTTCGCAAAGCAGCATGTTCGCAGTAGCAGCATCTACCGGTCTACGTTCACTCTCGAAGAATCCAATCTTCCTTTGGGATGCACTGACGAATTCCACGGCAGCGGCTATTTCACAACCACTGTCGCAGGGTTCGGTGATGGTGTTAGGCCTATCCGAAGTCGGAGCGTCGGGGCGTTGGTCGGGGGCGACGTCGTCGTTCGCTGTCGCTTTGCGAAGCGTCCGACGCCGTTTCCCTCGATACTTGTGGCGAGTTCTGAACTTTCGATTATCTGAACTGCACTTCTTCGGGCTTTGGATGACGCAAAAATGCAGAGAAACGCAGAAAAACTCGATCGCGACGTCCGAGGCTTCGCTCTTTTGCCGGAGAGATAGGAGGGGGAGGAGCGTGGAGCGCACCGCCGTCCAATGGCGGCCTCGCGCTGTGTGCCGCGATATTCAAAACGCGTGACGTACGCGTTGTTTTTCTCGTTTTTTGTTTATTCTGCGTGAAGGCACGAGACTGGCTACTAGTGGATTATGAAGGATACGGCCTTCGCAGCATGCGTGCATGACTGCAAATGGCGGCCAACGCGTCGTTTTCGCGACAGGACGACGCGAACTTCGCCGTTTTTCGCGACTTTCGCGCATTTCTCGCGTCACCGCTGCCCACTTGGAAGCATTTTTTGATAATTTCTCGTGCAAATTTCAGCTTGATATTTTAAGAAGTAATAGATTATAGTCCTAGGATGCCAATACAGCCGGAAAAAAAAAGCGAAAATTTTCCGGAAAACCGCGACTTTTCGACCCGCGTCTCCCCTTAATAGCATTTCTGGGCACCACCTCAGATGGGAGTAAAGAAAACGATTTTATTGATGCAGACAATGTCGCTGTTCCTGACTGCATCGATGCTGATATCATGACTGATGTTACCTGTGCTGTGGAAGTGGACCCGTACGGTTAAGAAGGCTCACGCCACCGCTAAACAGCATTTCATCGCGCTACAGAGCTTGCATCGGCGTTCACTGTCCATCACTGCTGCTGTGGCTGAAGTGGCTGAATTTGTTCATTTTGAAAGCTTCGATTCTCGATTAATGAGGATGAATAATGAACATGACTGCAGGCAAAGGGCAAGACAAGTGTACTGACTATTTTCATGTGACATAAAGTGCAGTAACTTGCAAAAGAAGTTACTTTTTTTAAAGGGGAACTCCGGTGCATTTTCATCCATACTGAGATAATGCTGTTTTATAATAGTATCGACAGTCCTGAAAAAGCTAGGATGGTTCATTTTGCGCAGGCACTTGTCAATAATTTTAACTAAGCAAAAAACTACGAGGCGAAACAAAAACCAAAACAGGGAGCGCCTCTGTCGTCCACAGTGAGTATCCGATGACGTCACAAAATTCCGTCGCCAATGACATCACGAAATCCGGTACACCCCGCCACGGCTGGCCAGGGTGTGATGCACGAAAAGCAATTTGGCGATGCCATCCGACGCGGAATCAAGCTGTGCCGCTCGTCTGAACTTACCAGTGACAAGTTCAGGGATGATTGCAGCTACTATTTGAGCGCGGAAGCATTGATTTCGACCCTGCAGCGCCTGAAGCATCTGACATGCCCGAAATCGATTTTCTCGTTGCTCAATATTGTAAGACCCGATGTCAACGACTACTAACACGCTGTATGAAGCTGACAAAACTGAACTGTGCTCACGTTGTCGTCACCTCATAGAATAAAGGGTGCGCTGCATCCGTCTGCTGGGAAAGGCGCGGCTTTTGAAAAAGCGGTAGGCCCTGACGTCATACACATAGGGAGGCCCACGTTTGCAAGTGTGATTCCAGAATCAGCTACCAATTTTGAAATTAGTTTTCTAAAAACTACATGACTTATGATTGTATAATTTGGCACATATCACCATGGTACCAACGGAAACACATGTTGAAAGTTTTATCGAAATCGGCGAATATAGAAAAAATGCCAGAGTTCCCATTTACAGGGAGATGTGGGTCGAAAAACACGAGTTTACTTGAAAATGACACATTTTTTATTTTCACCTGTTTTGATAAGATTATCACCTCTACTGTTCTGAAAAAAAAAAAACAGAAAAAACAAAAAACAAAATACATGCTGTGACTTGACTGGAAATGTTTTAAAATTGCGCCTAAAGAGCAAAAGGTGCCTGTTAAAAGACCCAAAGTGTGCAGTCTTCGAGCACCTTGCTGCCGATATTGTGCCACCGCTCGCCATTGTCGATCGCATGAGGCGAAGAGTCAAGCCTCGCTTTTCAAATAATTAACAAAAAGAACCATGCTTTTGGGCGTTTTTCGAGCGTTTTTCGACTGGCTTATCACATGATACGGATCAGGCACCGCCATTGGCCGCTGTGCACCTGTACGTGCTGTGAAGCCTACCTGAGGGGTCCATGTCTTGACGAGTAGCGCAGCTGAACAATGCTTTTCTCGAGTATTTATCTCGGTTATGAATTTAAAAAGACATTGCTCGTGCGTGAAAGCCGTTGTGGCAGCTCCCTCTGTAGGAGTAGGCTACCAGCAGCTGGTCCGATTTGCAGCAGTTGTTGGCTAGCAAAAGCCAATGCATCAAAAGTCATATACAGCCATCAGCAGGAAGGTTCGTGATGCGGCAATGGATGATGTTAGCACCAATCTTGCAAGGTCAAAGGAACTTTGCAGGGACGACATTGCCATTATGTACGATGGTAGGTGGCACAAACGTGGCCGCAAAATAGCATCGGCACTGTTGTGTGCCTCGACGATGAACTTAGTTTAGATTTTGCAGTCTTGTCAAACTTCTTCCTAGCTTGCAGTCGGCACAAGACTGCCAGATGGAGCGGAAAAAGTTTGGCAAGCGTTTGATGGCCCTGTCTGTGAGGAAATGTCTGTGAGGAGTCGACTTGAAAAAGCCGAGAAGGACAGACTCGTGGTGCTGGCGTATATTAGTGGAAGTGGCCACTACAAGAAGCATTGTTCTTTTTGGTGTGCAAACTTCATTGCATTTATTGACATCTTTCATAAATAAAAACTAAATAGTAACTTTAAAACTCGTTTTTCTCAAAACACAAATTTTGCCTTTTTTTTTTTTTTTCAATGTGCCCCTCCTTTTTTGGGCACTTATAATGCTCGGATCAGCATGCAATTCTGCCCATTTTTTTTTCCCCAAAGTATGACAAACACAATTAACTAGTTTAAATTTCAATATTTTACTATATAAAAAAATTGTATGTAAACTTTTACTAGGGTAGGTGAAATATACACTTTTTTACGCCTATTAGTTTTTATGCCTATCACATATTTTGTATGTACTTCCTAATTAGTTATTTGCATTCTACACTTTATTTGAAACATTACGAACTATAAATGGTAAAAAATGATGGAGGTTTAGGGATGAAAAGAGGAGGGGCAAAAGGGTTAATGTTATCACTTTGTCATGTCGCAGAGCTAAAAATATGCAACTTGCAAGAAAACTAAGTATATATTTGAAATCAGCATACTAAGTTCCATAAATAGCTACAGTTTCATTGCTCTAGGATGAATATTAAAAAAGTGTCTTCGAGTGGCATCTTCCCATAAGCATACTGTAATTGAATCGTCATGTTAACACTTATTATGATTCCCAAAAACCGTTTCGAGAGTTTCAATCCATTAATATATGCCATAAATGCGCATATCTCTTACTTCGAATCATCTATTGCCTTATTGCACACTTCGATGAAGACATGCCAATCATATTGCAAACAGAGGCTAGTAATGTGGGTCTCCGAGCAGTATTCGTACAGTGGCAGGATAACAGCGAAAAGGTGATCGCTTATTCCAGTAAAACGCTGTCACGAACAGATGCTAACTTAACGACGACCGAGAAAAAATGTCTCGAAATGATATGGGCAGTCCTCAAATTTTGCCTATATTTGTACGGTCGCTCGTTCACAGTTATCAGCAATCCCCATTCACTCTGCTGGTGAATCGATTTGAAAGATCATCTGGCCGTCTTGCACGCGGGAGTCTTCGGCTCCAAGTGTTTGACTTCACCGCTGCCTACATACCGGGTAGACAACACGGCGATGCAGACCGTTTTTCCCAGTCTCCCGTTGAAGCAGCAGACAATGACGACACAGCCTTTTTGGGCGTTTTTTCATTCTGCTGCTTTTTCACGCTAGCAGCGGGAGAAGCTGAGCTGTTACCGCTGATTCATTACCTCGAAGGACTAACCAATAGCGTGCAAAAATCACTTGCAAGAGGACTAGTGTCATACTGCTTGAGCAATGACGTATTTTAAAAGAACAACTTCTCACCTAGCGGCAGCAGCTCCTTGCTCACTGTTCCTTTATCGTTTCCACGTGAAATCCTCTACACCTGCTACAACGAGCCGACCACCAGTCACTTAGACTACACTCAGACATTGGCAAGGATTAGGCAGAAATACTACTTGCCGAAACTTGCCACTTTAAAAACTTGGGTGCAGACGTGTTTGGACTGTCAGCACCGCAAATGACCACCTGTTAAGCCAGCGGGCCTGTTGCAGCCTGTTGAGTTTTGACAAGAATATTTCATCCACCACAGAGCCCACAACGGCAAAGCTTGTTACAGGAAACCAACGAGACTGCTTTATCTCAGATTCAACAAGGTCAACAGAAGGGCAGAAATTAAAATGGGAAGTTCCAGGCTGCCACCTTGTAAAAGATGGCCAGGTGACATTTAGTTGAGCTTACTTTCCTGGAACAAGGTCTTTCTGCTCAACTTGTTCACCCGTGATTTATGTATTTAATAAAACAAAAGAAGCAGCTACAGCTTTGTACAATGGCTGAAAACAACAGATTCACGTGTCTTGCGTATGCTTTCAGTGTTGCATAAAATGATTCTAGACCGCAATTCCCACATCGCACTTTTACTAATTGAGCCGAGGTGAAAGTGATAGAAGAGTGATGAGCCCCAGTAGGTACTACCGTGAACAAAGCATAATATTGTAAGCCACTCTTACCGCCCGGGAGGAACTCCATGATGAGGTAGAGGTTGATGGCATCCTGGAAGCTGTAGTACATTTTCACCACCCACTGGTGGTCAGCCTCCACCAGCACATCGCGCTCAGCACGAACATGGGCCACCTGTGGGTTGCCAAGGTGATCGTCTACTGGCTCATTGTTTCTAACATCCTTCTTTTTTTATTTATTTTATTTATACAATACTGCAGACCAATTTAATGGTCCAAGCAGGATGGGCAGAAAAAAAGAATGTTCATGCACATACAATGCAATGCAAAAAAAAACAATGAAGCAACAAAACGCAGAATACACTTAGAACTACAAAATAAACAAGCCACGGTGAAACCGACTTTTCGCACAAACATAGCAGGGTTTCCAATCCAAATAAAACTAGAAAATCATGCACAACTTCAAGTAACATTGCTAAAAACCCGATCGTCAGTAATTAAAAGTTTCTAAAATGATCGTGTAGGGCTGTCATAAAATTTCCACTAAAAATTCTTTCTGGCAATTTATTCCAGTCATCTACCGTGCGTGGAAAATATGAAAACTTAAAGGTATTTGTTCGGGCAAAGAATGGGGATAAACTGTGGCTATGTGTGTGTCGTGTTTTCCTCGTGGTGGACGGACTAATGAATGGAGTGGGTGATAATCCAGTCTTACACTTAATTAGGGATTCCATAAAAGCTAAGCGGGCAATTTGGCGTCTAATGTGTAGTGGTTGGATTTTATTGAGTGTCATGATACCCGACGAAGAATCACTTCTTTTATATTTATTATAAATAAAACGAACAGCCCTCCTCTGAACCTTCTCCAATTCGTTAATGTTTTTGTTTGTGTACGGGTCCCAAACAACCGCTGCATACTCCAGTTTAGGCCTAATTATGGAATTATACGCTAAAAGCTTAACGTTACTAGGTGTACCTCGAAGTTTATGCCGTAAGAGACCAAGTTTTTTAGCGCTGAAGAAGTTACCTGCTGAACGTGGTCGTTCCAATCTAATCTGGAGTTCAATACGATACCTAGGTATTTAAACTTACTAACCTCCTCGATTAAGGTGTTTTTAATTTTGTACCGGAAAGTTATGGGGTTTCGTTTCCTGGTAATACGTAAAAGAACTGTTTTTGTAGTGCTAATTTTCATGCCCCATTTGTCGCACCAAGATGATATATCACATAAAGCCCTATCTAGCCGATGTTGATCAGAAGCAGACTGCACTTCAGTATAAATCATGATATCATCCGCGAACATTCCAATATTCACAGTATCACCAACCACAGACACTAAATAATTAACAAACAACAGAAAAAACAGGGGCCCCAGCACACTTCCCTGGGTTTATCACAAAGCAACACTTTGAGAGAGAGAGTGAAAAATGCAATGTCCTCACATGCGTTCTGTAGACACACATGAATGTGTCAAATTGTGAAACAAATGGTGAGAATCTTGCTCACTGACAACTTTCTCTCAGTGTTACAAGTGCCTACTTTTCTGGTTCATTGTTGGAGGAATGCTAAAGCCATAAAATACCACATATTGTATTTACTCGCATAATGAACGCACCTTTTTTTGTAAAAAAAAATCGGAGCAAAGTTGGGGGGTGCGTTTACTACTTGGAGCAAATTTTATGAAAACCTTTTCTGGAGGAGTGAAACATGCGGTAATGCAAACAAAAGTTAGGTCACTTGGCCTTTTGCAATTCACATACGTATACATTCTTTGAAAACAGCTTCTTTGTTGCACTTTCCTCAAACTCGGTGGTTGATGGCCCTATCTTCTGCAAGTTGTACCCACGTCGCCCGAAACGCCACAAAAGCGTTCTGCGCAATCGTTTCTCGCAATCGTTTACCTGCAACTGCGGTACCAGCTGTGATCTCAAGGGGTGCCCAAAAGCCTGCACTACGACGCACTTTGCCAACTTCGCTGCAACCTCGCATGACGACCCTGACGACTCCGTTAACATTAGGCAGTTTTAGAATAGCGCACTGCAAGCCCTTGCGGTGCGGTTGTGGCCACTGTGCATGCATCGTAAGGCAAGCAGTCGTTCGCGTTCACGGCCCGCCCACAGTAAATCTAAAATATCGGGCGCGTGTGCGGCTCGCAAACGTTGGATTCGGGGCTACAGTGTCACTGCAATCGTGCGTTGCAGTTTTAAGGAGCACAAACGCTATTATAAAACTCGTATGGCGTCCGCTAGCGTGTTTGACAACAGTATGCTGGAAAACACGAGAGAGAGAAAGGGGAGACGCCCATGTCGTCTGCTATGGTGCTCATTGGCTATCATTGCTGCAAACGTCATTTTCTCGCAATGCGTGACGCCCTCGTAGTTCTTCGCCGTCGTCGCTGCGCTCGCGGGGTGAGGGGCGGGTGATCGCGGTACTACGTTGTGTCAATAAGCCAGTGATCCGACTGCTTTGGGGTTGTTTCTGAACTTACTGAAGCCGCAAGTAGACAGCGTCAGGGCTGACTGCGTGGATAGGCGGCATATGCACACTCGTGGCATAACGAGTAGTAGTAGACGGACAAGATTTACACGCTGGAGAGAGACGTACGGCCGTGGCCACGGGGTTTCATCGCGTGGGGAGCTCGTTTTTCGACATGCTTGTTCAGCTCATGCCTAAGTTTTAACCCCCCATAGTTGTAGTTTTAAAGAGGGGGGTGGGGTGGCATTGATAAAAACTTTTTTATTTGTTGACCTACAGCAATGAAATCTGGCATGCATACTCATAAGTGTCTCGAATAGGGAAATGTGCAGTTTCATCATGATACCTTCAGTAGTTCTCAAGTTACATAATGCTACATGGTCCAATTACATGGTTTGCTCGTGGAAAGCCTAGCACTGTAACAAAACATGCCAGGAAGCTGCGAATGGTGTTGATCTTTACTCAAAAGAAAGCTACAGGGTATGGCACTTTCAGAATTATTTAATAAGTTTTCTTTTTCTTTTTTAAGAGATCATCATGGCTGCTGACACTCATTGTCAGAAACAGTGGCACGGACAAATCATCGTCTAGAAAAAAAAAACAGTGCCAAAGAACAGAAATTTAAGATTGCTGTACCCAGAAGCAGTGTTCAGGAATTCAGGAAAAAAAAACTGAATTAAAATCGGTCCAGTCATTCCCGTGCTACTCTTTCCACGAGCAATGCACAATGTCCAAAACACACTTGTAAGAAAAAGCCTGTCGAAGTTTTCGACAGGCTTTTTTCGATGAACTTTTTTGTTTCAGGTTGGATATTGATGAAAATTGGCACAGACACTAAGAATGACCTCACAGTGCTTCCATAAAACTTTTGAAGCAACACTCCAAATACTTTACGAGAGACATATTATTTCTTCATTGAACCATGTAGAGGGGCTGAGTATAATGTCAAAAAAACAGTATTGAGAAAGCTGCGTTCAAAATTTCAACTTTTTTTTGCGTTTCTAAGACACCTAAAAACCGTGATCTCAGGTTTGTCTTGTGATACTTGACTTCTTTTCATGATTTACTCCTTTTCATGATTTACAAAAAACAAGTATGGATTTCAAACCAAGTTCTTTGTATGACGGAGTGGTGTGATAGCTATGACAGAAAAGATTGTAATTTAATAAAACCATATACTGAAATTATTACACATATTTTTTGCGCTGAAGTTGTAATTAGCGTAATTAAGTACTTGATTACAAATATTCACTGAACTTTTCTTTATTAGGAGAGAGGTTCATAGCATCAGAAAAATGGATCACGCCATGACGGCCTATGCCTTCTTTCCAAATAACAAAGTTATGGGCAGAAGACTGGTGGCACAGGAATTTTAGCAGTATAATTAATGACGCGAAACAGGCATATGAGAATTCGTGCCCCTAATTCATACATGCTCTTTTGCCGCTCTAGCCGTGAAACGCATCATCATACAGCTGGTCGCGGAAACTCTAATCTACAGCAATTCATTAACCACGGAACTTTCATAGACGTTTGTGGCGATATTAAGCACGGCTCTAAGCACGTCTGAATTGCATCACAAAGGCTTATTGACAGCACGCCATATGACCGTGGAATGAGCGGCCGCGTGGACAGTGCAGTGGCTTTCGGTGACGATGCGCGAAATGTGTAACTACGATGACAAAAAATCGCCACGCACTGCGCTTGGCATCGCATTTTCGAATGACAACGCGCAAAACTGCTAGCTGCTGTTCCGAGCATTCCTTGGCAGTGAGGGGTGGGGGGTGACGAGTTTGGACTGTGTTGTCCGCTGCCGATGCGTAAAATACCCGTACGTGGTTCAGAGGAGCTAGCGAGTGATGTGCTACAGTCCTTGCAAAGAAGCACGTCACCAAGAGTGCGCTTGCACGTCGTTCCTGCCTGCAGTCTCGCTGTCAGCGAAATTAGGGCTAAAGCCAACTCTGATGACACGCGGCACTCGTAGACCGCGCGCCCGCTCGTAGTAACCTGATCGCGCATCCGCTTACTGCTCGTAACTAAAGCGTAATTATATCTTAAGTGATCATCAAGCCGTGAACACGTCGCGAAGTAGCGATTTTCGAGAGCCATGTCCTCGCGACGCACAAGCAGCAGACGACAATCTCCCGGAGCGAGCATCAGGCCAATAGCGAGGCGAGCTGAGGAAACATGGCGGCCACGGCCAATCAAGGGCCTCAAAACAACCTTCAAACATTTGCTTTTTTTGCGCTTGTTGTTAAAGGAAGGAGCCAGCTGAGGCGAGAAAGTTGAACACGGAGAAATGCTCTTTCCGATGAGCCCAAAAAGCCGGCTCCCGGCCTAAGCATCGCGAAGCTATAGTTTTTTTGAAAATCGCTGTTTTAGAAGGCCTCCACCATAGCTTGTACGCCGATGATATCACCCTCTGGGTTGCCGAGGGAAATGACGGCCACGTAGAGCAAACGCTGCAGGAAGCCGTCGACGTGGTGCAGGACTACCTTCGCGACACTGGCCTCGAATGTTCCGCCGCTAAATCGGAGCTCCTGCTCTATAGACCCTCGCGCAGGAGCCGTAAACCCAAGAACGCCGATTCCGCATTCGAGTGCGCATATAGAGAAATTAATGTACGCACATCAGACGGTGCTGCAATCCCACAAGTTAACACCATTAGGGTACTGGGCTTGCGCCTGTCCGCCAACGGCC